CACACACACACACACACACACACACACACACACACACACACACACACACACACGTCATAGCCTACAACTACTCTTCAGGATATAGTTCAAGTCATGATAGTGCACTTGAGATTCTAAAAGTAAAATCCAGAATAAAAGGAGCATCTCTCACTGCTCACAATGAACGATCTGAAGCTTCACAAACAGATTTCTTTTTCTTTTTTGTTTTTTAACTTAAGCGAGTGACCATTTGAATGTGTGACTGAGGCAAGAGTCAAGGGTGAACGATGCAACAAGGTCAAACTTAGGGGACAAAAGATTCCTGGAATAAACATGGCCAAAAAGGTTTCCTTCCTTAAGGGGCAGTTTCAGAAAAAAAAGAAAAAAGAAGAAAAGAAAGCGAAAGAGGAAAAGGAACCAACCAAATCTTCTACTTTACAGAATCCACCTGGTAAAGGTACCTGCCCCGCCAGGCAGGCAATTCAATTGTGGAGGAAACCCTTTTGCAAAATTAGCAGGCCTGCAATGTTCCTACCTTCGAAATACAAACTGTGTTCAGAAGGGATGACAACTGGTTAGTCCTTTTCTTTTTTTTAGGGAGGAAGATAAAGTTTAATTAAGAAGCCATATAAAGGAGTGTAGGAATGTGAGGGTCGCTCCCAATAAATACCGGGCACTGTTGGTTGCAGGAAAACAATCGCCAAAAGGAAGTGGGTTGAAACCCGCTAACTACGTCCCGCTTCCCACACGAAGCCCGGCAGTGGGCGAAGCCCAAAGACCACGGGCAGAGGCGGTGGGTGGCGGGGAGGAAGCCCGGGGCCGCGGAGGCCCGAGCGGTGGCGGGGAGGCCGGGGAGCTCCGGGCCGAGGCGGGTGCGGGCGGCACGTCGGAAGGAGAAGCGGGGCCGGGCTCGCCTCACCTTCTGCGCCGCGCTCTGCTGCAGCACATTCTGCTCCACGGTCATGGCCCCCGCGGCACCGGCGGCGACACAGGCGGCGGCGTCCAGCTCCTCGCGCCTCCGCCGACCCTGGCTGCCACGCTCCGCCGAGCTCCAGGGAGCGGCGCGGACGGCCGGGGAGGACAGCGCCCCGGCCAGCCAGGAGCGAAGGCGATGGCGGCAGGCGTGCGCGGGCACCGCGGGCTGGCGATGAGGCGCCGACTGCGAGGGCCACGGCGGCGACCCCACAACTCCGTGCGGCCGCCTCAGCGCGGCTGCTCCGCCGCGGCCCCGGCCATGGGCGGTCGGCGGACGCTGGGACGCGGGAGGGCGCGAGCGAGCCGGACCGCGTCACGCGCGCGCGCGCTCCTTCGCTGGCGCTCACGGGGCACTGCGGGGAAGGCAGAGGGAACGGAGGGAGCGGCCGGCCAGAATGGCGCTATCCGCCTCGCTCCCCTCCCCCAGCCGCCGTCACCGCCCCCGCTTGGCGGCTCCTCCCCCGCCGAGCCCCGCGCGGGCCCGACGCTCCGGGTGGAGCGAGGGCGCGCCCGGCAAGCTGGGCCTTGGAGCCGCCCCTGCGGCAGGTTACGCGGCGACAGAACTTGGCTCCGCTAAACTCCCAGCCGAGGACACAGGGCTGCGTTCCTCCCTGTGCCCAGGACTTGTCGGATCGCCGGCTCTCCCAACTCCTCCAAGACAAAACATTCCTCTTTAGGCCCCGTAAGGTCCCCAAGTCGCCTTGGGTCCCGAACCCCGGCTCCTTTCTACGTCTGCGGTCCTCTGCCCTCGCATTTCTAGGAATTTCACAAGCAATAAATTTGCCTGAAGGGAAAAGAGTGATTTAAGCGAAGGGCTGTCAGAAGTCCTTGGGCTGGAATGCACTTTTCTCCTTAACTAATCGTTACATAAATGACTACTGACATTCTCGGTCTACTTCATTCATTCATTCGTACGTGTGCCAGTCACTGCTAGGATCTGGAGAAATAAGGTTTACTTCCCGAAGATCTGATATAAATGAACTATGGTCTATACAATAAACATTACAAAAGTATCACTGCCTACATGGTACATAATTGTAATATCCCAGTTGCCAAACTATCAATTAACCACCCTGCATGAAATACCTGACTGACTATATATGGAATTATACGGGAAACCTAACATTGAGATAGCAATCTCTATCCTCAAAAATATCTTGACTTTCAGGAGCTAACCTGGGGGATAGGAGGTGAAGGTGCTGCGGTGGGAGGGGCGGAATGATCAGTGCATGTTGTCACAAAATACATACAATACACGCGTGCAAATCCGGGTATAATTTTTAATCTGTTGACAAGAAAAGCAAACTCGGTAAAGAATCATTGAAATAATATCTAGTTTTATTTAATAATCAAGTAATTCTTAAGGCTTTGTAACAAATCTGTGCACTTTACAACCGCCTTTGTACCTTAGGTGTCTTTAACCACCTTTTGAGATCTTCCCCTTGAGTCCTCATATTTTTTGCTCATTTGATTTTGATAAATTACAAATTTTATTTTATTGATATCCTGTGTCTTTGCCAGAAGAATTTGAAAAGTTGTGAGATGGTTGGAAACCCAGGATTTTAGGAGTAATGCAACAATTCTGATAGAATGCACAAATTTTTTATCAGAACACTGAGACCCAAAGAAGGTGACTTGTCAAAGAAGGCATAGTAGAACCCATTTTTCCTCATTTATAGACCAAAGCTTTTTTCAACATATCAACTTCATGTTTCTCTGTATTATCGATTTTGTTTTTAAATCTATCTGGTTCATGACATTTGAATTTAAGAAAGTCAAATTTAACATAAAATCTCGTACTATGGTTAAAAAAGACATTGCCAGATACTAAAGATTAGTTTCAAGAATCAGGCAATAAGTCTTTCTTTGAATTAAATTTTTTAATTCCACACACACA